TCACCAAGCTCGGTTAGATTAACCGACGGTTAAAATTAGCAGGGTTCCAACTGAAATGATATGAATGCTTGGTTTTCCTTCACCTCTATTTTCTGTTGGCCACCCTGCTAATTTTAACCGTCGGTTCATCTAACCGGACTTGGTGAAATTGGCCCATAATCATTAAACTGTGTCGTAAAAACATAGTTGCAATTGAAAACACAGATTAATATAAGAAATATTCTTGTAGAATAGAAATATTATTTATATATTATTATTACGCTCGATAAACTTATTATTTTGTTGCTAAAGATCTCTAAACTAATTTTTTTGGGACATTTTTGTGATATTTTGGCTGCGGTCGAGAAGACGCTATAGATACTTCGAAACATTATATTATCCAATCAGAATAGAGAAATCTTTACTTTTTTTGTCCTGATTGGTCAATCAAACGCTTCGAAGCATTTCTAGCGTCTTCCCGACCACAGCTTTTTTTTATCTAAAAGTGAGCATGTCGGACGTCGTTATGAAAGGGTAAAAGTGAGAAAATTCACTAGAGTATCTACGATTTCATTCGTCGAAATCTAGTAAATCTGTTCACTTTTGTAATTTTCTTGGTCTCAAGGGATACACAATCGACTCCCTGCTCTCTGGTACTGGTATCGCTATAGTTTATGGAGATCGCTGCTCGAACGGTCGCACGACTCGCTCGACTCGCTCGGCCATTTTTATCGTATTCGTCTCGACGAGAGGTTGATATTGTTCTCGCGGCAAGAGGTAGAGTAATAATATTCACAAATAGAATCCGTTCGACTATTCGTAGTTACTCGAATAATTTAATTATTATATAATCGATCTAAAATTCGTAAATATATAATTTAAGGTGTAATTGAAAATATTAGATCGATTTATTTTACCGTGCTCTGCACATGTTCTTTGTCGGATGGCGTGAACACGTGGCGGATATGAATGCTATTTTCAAATTGCGATGTTACGAGATTTGAAATTTATTCGTTTCTTTTAGTCTATACGATTTTAAAATATTTTCTCTCCAGATAACGATATCCTAGCATGGTTAACGGAAGAATTCCGTCGGTCTTCTCCAAGACCTATGTCACTCCCAGAAGGCCGTACGAGAAAGCTCGCCTCGATCAAGAGTTACGTATCATCGGAGAATACGGTCTTCGTAACAAACGCGAAGTGTGGAGGGTAAAGTACACCCTGGCTAAAATTCGGAAGGCTGCTCGTGAGTTGCTTACACTAGAGGAGAAAGATCCGAAACGTCTCTTCGAAGGTTAGTCATATACACATCGGTCGAAAAAAAAAAAAAAAAAAAAATTACACGTAAGATTTTTTTTTTTTTTCAAATTGTATTTATTAATCAATCGTGCATTTATTTAACATAAAATATAGAGCATATGATGATTACGCTTTTGACACCTCTTGTCCGAATATCTCTGTAGATATAAGCATAGACTGAGAGACTTCTATAGACGCTTAAGAAGGATTTGTCTGAGAAAATCTCTAGATTTTCTTAATGTGGAAACATGTATTTTTACAGGAAATGCTTTGCTTCGTCGTTTGGTAAGAATTGGTGTATTGAATGAGGCTCACATGAAGCTCGATTATGTGTTGGGCTTGAAGATTGAAGATTTTCTGGAGCGACGTCTGCAGACTCAAGTATTCAAACTAGGTCTGGCCAAATCTATCCATCATGCTCGCGTGCTTATTCGCCAACGGCATATTCGGTAAGTTATTGGTAATAATAATACATCAATATGTACGTCTATATTGCTAGAGAAAAAGAACACTTTTATCATCGAGAAAAGAAAAACATTCTATTGCAGGAAGGAGAATGTTAAGACAGAATAAAAATTTTGTAATTTGTATTAATTGTAATAAGAAAAGTTTTTTATTTGGATCGTAAAAGATATGGACTTTTTTACAATTTAGATACAATGTAGAGATTCAAGATCGGAACGCCTTAAAAAATGGGCAAGAAATGGTCAAAATATTTTTAATTGGCGCATTTCTAATCTTTGAGGCAAAATCAAAAGCCTGGCTTAATCACCGGTTAAGGATTGGTTCCTTTTTCGGTTTCATACTAGGCTACAATTTAAATCTTAACATTGTTAAAATAAACAAATGATTTTAAATTAATTATCAACGAAAGAAGACTGAAATACAAATGTCATAGAAAAACATTTATATATATATTCAAACTTATCGAACTTATATATTTCTCATCAAACTTATATATTTATTTTGTTCAATTTATAACTTGGAACTTACAGCCAAAAAGCTATGTGCATTGTATAGTTTTTTAATGCACATTTACATACAAATGTAAAATTATTTCAATATTGTACAATTCGGAGCATCAACAGCTCACTCGTCTCTATAACACCGGTAAAAATTTCGGTATTCGAAGGTTCCACATTCGGCATATATGTCGCGAGGCAAGATGGTGAACAAATTCTGCTGCTTAAATATTGGCTTAACGATGGCATCTGGTCGACTGGTTGTAGTTGATTACATACGAATCCAGAATCCTCAAATCGTTAATGTAACAAAATTTGATTCACGCAGGCCACTTAAGTGTCGTTTTTTGGCACTTAACGTCTGTTGACCTCCTGTCGAGATCCTTCTTCATCCTTGTCGTGAGAGAGAGGAAGTTTCGGTAGAGTCTTTATTTTTCTAATAGAAGAATTTGCAGTCAGTGGTTTTAAATGCAAACCTGGGAGAACTGAGTGATTACTAATGGTTTTTTTGTTGCAGAGTACGTAAACAGGTGGTGAATATCCCGTCGTTCATCGTGCGATTGGATTCGCAAAAGCACATCGACTTCTCGCTCAAATCGCCATTCGGCGGCGGCAGACCTGGCCGCGTCAAGAGGAAGAATCTGAGGAAGGGAAGCGGTGGTGCCGCACCGGAAGAAGAGGAGGATTAAACTGATTGTTGTCGCGGTTTATTATCCTAATAAATGCGCACTCTGTAATAATCTTTTTTTTTTTTTTTTTTTTTTTTTTTTTTTTTTTTTTTTTGTTTCTCTCGAACATTCCATCTCTTCGATCAAAAATCACCATTCCATTATCCTTTCCTGAGCAAAAATTTAAAGTACCTGATAGGCATTTGAAGAATGAAATCTTCAAAGTTTAAGTAAAATAAATGTCTTTTATGACATTTGTATTTCAGTCTTCTTTCATTGATAATTTATTCAAAATCAGATATATTATTTTAACAATATTAAGAGTTTAAATTTAGATATATAAATATAGGATGAGGAAAGAGAAAATATATACAAATAAGATAACGAACAAATGCATGAAAATTGAAATTTTACGGAAAAGACAGGAATAGAATAGAAAACGATATTCCATTGTCCAAAATTAAAATGTGTGTTCAATGTTTTTATATTTATTAATTAATGTTTTCCTATTATAATAAAAAGTTGCATCATAAAAATTTACTTGAAAATATTGCCTATATATGTATGCATGTGTGTATATATGCAATATATAATATTATATATAAAATTTGAAAAGAAATATCCTTTAAAGAAAAGAAATTTCTATCGATATATTTCTGCACAGAAAAGATAACTCTAAATGCATCTCTATTGGACCATTGAATATTTAAATATTACATATAATTTTTTTCTATGAAAAGTATTGAACATTCTGAACGATACTTGAAAATTGGAAAGTATTAAGAAAAACTTTGCATAATACTAGTTGCATACTAAAAGTTTCTAAACTTTTGAAATCTTTTGAAAAGGAGCTTCTTTCACAAAGTTCTTTTTATCGTTACGTTTTTCTCTTTAAAGTAAAAATTATTTTTATAAAGAAATAATGGAAATACTTCTTTTAACGTACATTTTATTTATTAATAGCATCATGAAAAAACGAATAAATAAAATTATAAATATAATAAATACGTGGTCACCCAGCAAGAGAATATGGTTAATGAAATTATTAATAAAAAATCTATATTTTATTTCTATATATCGTTATTTGTTTGCTATATTTTTTTAAAGAATAAATTGGAATTATTTTTTATACAAGATATATATATAAATATATATATAAAAGAATTTACATAATGTATAAAATAATAGATGTATAAAAAAAAGAATTTACATAACTATATTTCAATTTTATCAAATTTTATAAATCGCCGACTATGTATATTATATAATTATAATTTTCTGATTTTTAAAATTGAAGGATTGAGATATTTTCATCACACGCGCGCATTAAAGCCATTTTTTACCGAGTCAAAAAATAATTTATTATCGAAGGAATTAAATAATTTTATGGGCGTAAAATTGATGTTAAAATAAAATAGCAACGTATATATCATTTCTTTCATTCTTGGCAAATTTATTAATTTTACAGTTTATTATAATTGATCGCTCTCGATTTGCGTTCCCGAGGAACGTGAAGTAGTGCTCGCAATGCATTTCACGCGTGACTCTACGCCCTATGCTCCCAAGTTCACACAGTTTTCGCGGATACGCGAAACGCCTCGACTCGTAAACGTCTCATAACGGCTTTGTATTTCTCGCGTTCTTTTCGCCCGAAAAACGTTAAAAACGAATCGCCCGTGTGTTTGAGTACATAAAGTGAACGTTGCGCGTTCGTTGCAGGTTGCAGGCTGCAGCTTGCGGACGGGAACGGTCAACGGACAACGGACGTTACACAGTTATTCAAACGCGCTTCTTCTTCGCCGAATCAACGATCCAAGTTTTGCGTAGCGAGAAAGTCAAAGACTTGGGTGCAACATTCTTAGATTATCCTTTATTACAGTGCCAACAAAAAAGAGGAGAAGTATGCGTTATCAAGAGTGATTAATTCGTTCGGATGTCGATCGAAGTTAATGTTGCGAAGAAATCGAAACTGCGCAGTCAAGATGTCGGTCGATTTTGTAATTTGTGGTAAGTAAATTTATTTGTCGTGATACTAATTGTATTTTGGATTGTAACATTATGCGTAATCAACGTTTCTCCCTTTTTCTATCTCTTTCCTCTCTCCCTCGCCCCCCCCCCCCCCCCTCTTCCTCTATCTCTCTTTCTCTCCTCTCTCCTCTCTCCTCTTTGCTTTCTTTCTCTCTATCTCGTATTTAATAGTTTTATAAGATTTACAGAATTATATTTATTGAATCGCGAAAAATTCGGTGATTTTACCAACTTATATTACAATAACGCAAGTGGTTGGACAGGAGAAAATTTACTTATTTTACAAGAAAAAAAATTTACATGATTTTTCGCTATCAATTCCGTCACAATTCAATATGACTTGAGCGAGGGATTTAAGAATCTTAATCACATATTATTATTAATGGCCATTAATCAGATATTATTAATCGAATGGTCGCCGATATCGCCCTTCAAATTTCCGCGCCTTGTCCTCCGAAATTCCTTACAAAGAGAGAGATTATACGTGACGCGCGCGTGATCGCATCGGATCCTTTTTGCTCGCACACTGACGATGAGAGAAGAGAAGATAGGGAGGGGGGAGGGATGTAATCGAACGACATATCGTGTGTCGTTGGACGTATCGAGGGCTGCTAACGTCTTGGCGAGATACATCGTCGCGTCGACCTGATCCCACGTGGGGCTGACAGTCCTCGTGATGGATAATAGGACCGAACCCTCGCCCTTCCGTCGTTGCCGCGGGCGTGCAATATTTCACGGCTTATTTACTTTTTGAAGACGCGCCTCTACGAGCTCACGTGTCGCGAAGGCGACGGTTTTCTAAAATTTTCCCTCCGGCAATCCCTCCGGCATTTTATATCGGCGCAGCGACGATACACCGATATATTATTTGAGAGATATCGATTTAATTTAATAGCTAATTTAATATTATTTATTAAAATACTAAGCGTTTGAATAAATTTCAACGATATAATGAGATAGTAAGATTTTTTAAATGAATATACACGGATGAAATTTTACAGTACAAATTACATAAAAAATACATTCTCTTTTACAACAATTGTGTAAAGCTGGAATATAAAGACATTAAAATATTTATTACTATAACAATTATAAATTTTGCATCTGCCTTATTGTTTGTTAACAATTATGTATTTGTTTGTTCGTCAAAATATTTGAATAATTACAATTGTCCTTTGTAAAATATAATATGTATTATCATAATATTATATTGAATATAAAAATATCGTAATTTCTCTTATATGTTGGTACGTTGTTCCACGATTACAAAAATTATATCGTGTAATTTTCACTATAATATTTTCTCCGTCTAAAGGTCAAAATAAAATATATGCGATAACAAGAAAAAGTGTGTACATGAGAAAGTAAAAATATTAAGGTGGAATAGAATTTTTCTTTTCGAGGAAAATAACTTGAGATGTCGATTATAGGAACAATTAGCGGATACACACTCTAGGTATAAAGATAGATTAAAGATTGCTCCTATGTGAAATATACAAGTAATATTATAATATATGCGACATGTGATTCTGTTTAATATAACGCAAGGAATTTGGAGTGAAATTTTGAAAGGGACTCGAAAGATGCACTTCTTCGAAGTCGATTCTCTCTCTCTCTCTCTCTCTCTCTCTCTCTCTCTCTCTCTCTTCCTCTTCCTCTTCCTCTCTCTTCCTCCTCGGACACTCTCCGCTGATAATTAATTCTGCGTAAATGCGATTTCCGGAAGCGGATTATTTTCCGCGCTCAACGGTACTTAGCACGTATACGCGCGGGTCATTCATAACGACGTGGGAGCGCACACGTATTTGCATGCTGGCATAAATAATAAATAATGCAAGGAGGGAATCCTGAATTACGACTTGCCGCGGAGAAGAGAGAACGTGCCTGTATTTCTGCAAACAACGCGGAAATTTTCGCGCCAAGTGACAAGTGACCGGTCTAGGGAAATATGATTCTCAATTTCGCCAAATAGATGCTCGATTTATATCTAATAGCGGTACAGTCTCACGTAAAAGTAACAGGCTCTCAAGGCTACGTTGTTCTTCCTTAATTATTGCTAATTGGCGAAGGAAAGTTTTTCTCGATTCGCATGTTACGCAGAATAGTAGTATATTTCGTAACAATTGTAGAAAGTTTTGATTGCGTTTCTTCAGCAAGGAACATATTTTGAGTAAAATATACCGAATAAGTATTAGTTCTTCTAAATCTTTCAATAATTGAGATTACAAGAGAAGTCGGAAGAGAGAGAGAGAGAGAGAGAGAGACTGGTAAATTTTTGTTGTAAGCTTAATATCGAGTGACTTTTGAAAAAGTCAAAACAGACAATATCAAGCGATATATTTACATTTCTTTGCGTTTCGTGATTATTTCAAATTTTCGTTAGATTTCTTTTGGAAAGAAGAACAGAAAAGACAAATACGAGAATACATTGTACAGAAGCAAAGAGATATCCTACGATTTTGATTCGTTTATTACGCCACCGAGGCGGTGATCGTGTTTCAATATAATTCGAGTTATACGTCAATTCGTTGGCTATATATTTTTCATTGCGCTTTCGAAAAATTCGAAAACCGCCAACGGCGAGCGAACAAAAACCAGGAAATTGAACAATGATTGCCATGACGAGGCGGATAAATGCCATACCAACGTTTTTTTTATTTCATTTTATTTTTCTATTCCTTTCGTATATCCATGCGGTTTGCAATTAAATTCAGTTTTTGTTAGATTAAATTTTAAAAGAATTCTCGCGCGCGCCGCGTGTCGAAAAATTGTCCTAAATTTTTTTAAAAATATGGATTAGCGGATATATCATATCGATCCAATTGATTAATCTTTCTGACGTTTGTTTTAATCGCGATTACTTTGTTAAATCATGTGCAATTATAGTAACTGTGGAAATAATTAAATACCGCGCAACGTGTCGCTACCGCATGCGTGGCCCTTTCGACCGATTTGTTTATGGGAGAATTTAGTGAACTCGGTTTCGATTAGTCGAGCGGCCTGTAAAATTAATTAGCGCCGTTAAACGTGCCGAGAACTTGGAGTGGGGATGGAGGTGAGGATGGAGGAAGAAGAGAGAAGAGAGGAGAGGAGAAGGTGGCGCAGGAATTCTCGATCTGCCTATTTTCGAGTCCATTATCGGAAACACGGCCAACGAGAGACCGATCGGCCGAGAGTCTCCTCGGTATAGAATATACGGAGAATCGACCTTCATTCCGGCCTTTACCACATTCCTCGATATGAGAGTCAGTCCTCCTTTCGTCGCTGACCCCATAAACTCGGGCCACATCCAAGATGCGCTCTCGTCGAGAAAACTCGCGGTGAGAGACGAGAGACGAGAGACGAGAGACGAGAGACGAGAGACGAGAGACGAGAGACGAGAGACGAGACGGCACTCTCAAATCCTTAGCGATAGATACATACGCTGATAATTACCGCGCTTTCGATATCGAGTACAACTTTCGTATAGTATACACATTGTATGGTGGAGTAAATATTATTACTTATTTTTATATCTGTTACTGTTTCTCGTGTATAAAACTCCATTTATATAAAAATAATATACAAAACTTTTATCGCGTATATTTTATTAACTTGTGGTACAATATTATATAATCCTGTATTTATTAATATAGAATTATATTTTATGTGTAATAATAAGATTAGATGGTTACACACGTGTGTCGTAAATGATGCGCGATAAAGCCACTAGCCACGAAGCGTCAACTTTATATTAACATATAGGTATATAAAGAGACGCGCATAGGACTTTTTAATTGAATTCCTCGCCTTCCTCTTGCCTTCCTCCCCTCCCGTCTCTCTCGCGTGGAGGTCGCGGAGAAAAAGTTCAATTAAATGATGCTGCGTTTTCGATTAAAACTTTACGGAGTAATTTGTTGTTAATGTCGACTATAAATTGTGCGATAGATTTAAGTTCTCTTTAAAGCTGCGAAAAATTCAAATTTTACAGCGACTTTTGAGATGGGTGTTATAAAATTTATCGCGAGAGTTGACGCACATCTGTATGGAATATATTGTAATTATTGTATTATAAATTATAAAAACACGAGAAAAAAAAAGATCGTTCTTGTCACGTGACCGAATTCAGTTGAAGAACTGTGAGCTTTCATCCGTGAAATCTCCCTCAATCTACAATGTCCCACTTTAATAAATTAAAGTAATCTTAGCAATTTATGTAACTTCTCGTGTTTCCGTATATCTCTCTTTCGGTATATATAATTTCCAAACGCACTAAAGTTCCCTAGAGGAATAAAAAGTATTCTTTATATAATATAATTGAGCGCTTTGGATAACATTGTTTAAAATTTTTTAGCGCATACATATTTAGTTCTTCTCGTATGCATATACATATATTAACAGAAAAATAATTTCTTTTCGAATACAAGTACAAGACTAGTCACATTCCGTAATCTTTTGACGCTAAATATGATTGCGGTTTTCAAATTACTTCATCGCGTCATAATTTTGAGAAATTTACAGTTAAAATTTGCAAAAAGAGCTATTTTAATGTATTACAGTACGATATGGAGCATAGTGACGTGATGGAGCCATTTGAAAACTGGAATCGTATAAAAAAAAAAACCACGTCAAAAAGCTATGTACTAAAAAGTGACCATTCTTGTTCTCGTGTATTTTTTTGCGTTAAACTACGTTATTATATCTTTTATACGTAAAAGACAAAATTTTCGATGTATTGCATAAATTTTTGACGCTGCGATAAAATTGTTCGTACATGTGCCGTTATGACACGTGTAATGGTACAACATTTAAAACGAGTTAAGACGCAAGAGACGTTGAGGGTAGGAGGGGGTAGGTGGGTAGGAGGGTAAGACTCGATATCGTGCGCCGGTCCAGCTGCGCAGCCGGCGCCGATGCCGGCCGGCCGCTCTCGGCTTTCGGCTCTCGGCTCTCGGCTCTCGGCGGCTTTCGAGTTTCGAGTCTCACTCTCACGTCTCACG